TTGCGGAATCTGACTTCAGTTACGGTCAGATTCAGTCCCCTACGTTCTGCTCAGGCACATGTGCAGTTCCGTGGATTACATCCTGCCATTTTTGCTTCTTCCGACCCTACAGCTCACATGATGATGCTACCATGGTGATCCAAAAGCTGCTGCATCTGGACCATTTCTTGCGCCAGATACATCCAGAAAGCTCCATGAGCTGCAGCATTGTTTAGTATCTACGAAAAACGAAATTAAGGTGCGTTCCCCTCTCCCCTTTTAAGGTCAAATAGGTCTGGCTACGTAATTTGATACTCCAAGGGGGGCGCCGGGGGGGAGGAAGAGATTCCAAACTGCTGACATACATTATTACAGAAAAAAAAAGTGCATGCCAACGGCGACAAGGTCCCACTAGCAAAGAGGATTGGATTATGCTCCTGAATCTAGAAGTGTTTTATGCAGAGATGCCGAAAAGCAGTTCAATCGCCATTCTTGGCACCTCTTCACAAACACGTCCAGATTCAGGCGTTCAATCTACTCCTCTTTGCTAGTGGGATCTGGCCACAAACACATCCACATTCAGGCGTTCAATCTAAATCCTCTTCGTGAGAGGGACCTCGCCCTCTAGTCGTCTCATGCGATTCTTCGTTTTGTCGTTTGTGGCCATTTAATCGTAATCTGTCCTTTTTGAAGGTGTGGTAAGGTCACTACTCGTGCTTTTTGAGGGCCTGATTGGACTTCTTGGGGCTTGCCACAGAAGGTGGCAAGATGCATCCTGTACTATTCATAGTAAAGGATGCATCTTGCCACCTTCTGTGGAAAGACGCACTCACGTTCCTTACTTTTTTCCTGAGTAGTCTGGCCAGAACCTTTGTCCTGGTTCGCCCAGGCTCCCCATCCATGTCAGGACGAGCACCTTCTTCTGCACGGTTATCAATGATCATGGCCTACTACCGTCTTCCCCCGAATAGAACGCACGACCATTGTCGCTGTACGTAGACTGAAGTTGCCCCAAATACAGCTATTACAATGACCGTGCGTTCTATTCGGCGGACCGGCGGCCGTCATATTTCAGTTCAACCCCTCAACCTCCTATCAGCAGAAGAAAAAAAGAATCTGCTGTACGCTTATCCAGCTCATGGCGGGTTATCAACGATCACGGGATAGGGAGATTCCTCGCATCCAATTAACCAATGATTCACAGAGCATCAATCAAACATCTAGGCAATCATAAGCACGTAACGTGAGAGTGAAGTCACACAGGCAAGCGGGGAGAAAAGAAGAAGAAGAAGACGAAAAGGAAATGGAGAACAGGTGATGAAAAATGAGACACCGGGATTCTCCCCAACGCGACCGACAGGTCATGAATTATTAAACAATGAACAGATGAACCTGTCGTCCCTGGTACGTCAGATACGTTCTTGACAGTCCTACCAGTGTTGGCGGCGACCCTACACCGCATTTCAGCCGGTCGCCAGCCGGCATCATCAGAGGTCCTCTCCTTCAGGTCGCCGTCGATTCCCTTTATTCTCCTTTTTTTTTTCCTTAATTAATAATTTGCACCATTTCTCGATTTGCTCATCGTGCCATCCTTGCGCAGGCCACTCAGATTCTTTGTACTACATATAGTTCCGGCGTAGGGACTCGTGCAAGTCCGAGTACAAGCCCAGATCAAACTCCGCAGGTAAAGCTCACTCGCAGCGTCTAATTAATCAATGGATGAATGAGTCTAATACATCTATCAAGGAAGCAAGCAAGAAAAACAGATCGCTAATCAACGAAATCCAATCAATCAATCAATCAATCAAAGGAAGAAAGGAAGACAAAGCAATGGCTATGGATATGCTTCTGAACACGTAAACAATTGAAATGATCAATACGCGACCACGTGTTCAATGGACAGAACCTTTAAACTAAATGGCTCAAGAAACTGCCATCCGACAAGGTTGAGAATATAGGGACGATTCCACTGGCCCTTCTTTTCTTTCTTCACAGGGGCCATGCTAACCTCTCTGTATCGTTCCAGTTTGTTTTTCTTCTTTTCTTTTTATTCCGGTTCCAATTTCAACGGACGTCCTCAGGGAAACTGGCCAGTTCATTGTCTCAGCCAGCCCCGTGGCGATGGGTTCAAAAAAAAAAAAATAATAATAATAATAATAAATAAAAAATAAAAAAAAATTACAGTAATATCGCGAACATCTCTTTCCTTCAGGCTCACCAGAGTTGGAAACAAACATAGATCCAGCGGCCTAGCTCAGTTGGTAAGGCACGCAAGTGGCATTCAGGAGGTTCTGGGTTCAATCCCCATTGGCCTCATGTACCTTCCTGGGTGAGCTTGGCGCCCGCCACCTAGAGATATGCCGTTGGTCCCCCCGAGTGGCATTGAGCAGAGACTGCTGATGTTCATAGGGGGAGGGGACCGGAGGGGAGGCACAGTGACTGGCCCATCGAAGAAGCTCGAGTGGCATTGAGCAGAGACTGCTGATGTTCATAGGGGGAGGGGACCGGAGGGGAGGCACAGTGACTGGCCCATCGAAGAAGCTCGGTCCTGATGCTACCGGCTGACCCCTGGCCGGTATC